TGAGCTAACCCAGATGGTCAGCCCAATTTCCAGGTACCGTTGGGATGACGTATATGTGCCGTCAAGTCCTCTTACTTGAGCATGTTTATCTTGAAAACATGATTGTAATAGGTTGTATGTGGTTGGCTACATAAAGGGTGAGATTTCTTTCTGTCTTCGCAATTTCTTAGCACATGTGCAGCATTGCATTCCGGTTTAATGCATATTCAATAATAAAACTGGTTTTTTCTCCACTACCTTTGTGAGGAGGATTTCTGGGTTGGAAAAAGATGTGGGCTTTTAACAGTTCTCAAGCTTGAACCTGATGCAGGATGGACTGTGCCGCACTGAGCCGTTCAAGTGGCTCACCAGTGCTCTTTCCCACACTCAGCTTTCTCTCCCTCCAGCTGCGCCAGTTTGAGGACCGTGCTACCCTGGTCCTAATTCCCCATCTGCCATCCTGGGCCAGCACCCAGCACACTGTTCCCCTAGGTGACCTGCCCCTTTAAGAGCACCCCCACTTCAGCTCCTCCCTCAGGCTGGTGACCGGATTTCCCCATTGTGGCCCAGCCCTTTAAAGCCACCAGCTCCAGTTTTCTGGCTGATGTGTGCTGAGACCTGAGGCAGGGACACCGAGGGGCCCTGGTGCTGGGAGTAGGCAGAAGTGGGCTGCGACAGGTGAATGGGGGCATGGACCCACTGTCCAGGGCTCAGGAGGGACACAGAGCTGGGACAGGGTGGATCCCCTGAGAAAGCAAAGCCACTCGGGAGTGGGCAAGGGATGTTCAGCAGCTACTATGTGCCAGGCCCTGTGCCCAGGCCTTTCTACGCCTTCTGAGGGAGGTATTCGTGTTCCCAGTTTGCAGATGAGACAGGCACAGCGCAGCCACTGAATTACTCAGGGCCCCACAGCTCGCGAGCAGCAGAGGCAGGATCTGAACTCAGGTCAGTGGGACTCAAAAGCCTCCGTGGTCTCTCCCCTGCATCACCTGCTGACAGTGTCCTGCCTTCTTCCCAAACTTCATTTTTCCTCGGTTTTCCAGTGTGCAGTAGAGTGCAGGGGAAGGAATGGGTCGTACCCTCACCACCCCCATACTCTGGTTCCTTTTTCCTCCCAGGAGCTGTGTGGAGATGCTGCTGTGGCCACTCCTACTGCTGCTGCTGCTGCTGCTGCTACTGCTGCCATTGGCCTTGCTCCGGCAGCAGCGGTCCCAGCATGCCAGGTGGGCCTGGCTTGCCAGCCTCCAGCACCGTGTGGCATGGGGTGCCCTAGGCTGGGCAGCCACCTGGCAGTGGTGGAGGCTGGAGCAGAGCACGCTGCACGTTGGCCAGAGCCAGCAGCAGGCCCTGAAGTGGTGTCTGCAGGGAGACCAGGGTCCCCGCAGTCCCCTCAGGGGGAGCACAGGTGTGTTTGGGGGTCTGGGAAGGTGACCCAAAGAAAAAGAAACCCCACAAGACATCGGATTCCAGGATGTGAATCCCCCCTTCCTCCCTCCCATCTACCCCCCCACTGCCAACACAGAGTGGCTGACCCGGAGACCCACCCAGCCTGGGACTGGCTCTCTTGTTCCAGAGGAATTTTCCCATCTGGGACCCTCGGAGCCCCTCCCCAGCAGGCCTATTTCAGGTTCCTCCCTCAAGGGTCTCATCTGTCTCGCTTGAAACTCTTGAGAAACTGTGGCTTCCTGAAGGGTTTCTGGTGTCTTTGGGGCTACAGACATGACCACCTTCCGGAATCATCTCCCTTTGACCAAAGCCAGCCAAGCCCAAGAGGAAGACAGTGCTGGGCAGGTCCCACCCACTATCTCACCCCAGTACCCGGGGGAGGCCTCTCTGCAGGTAAGGTGGGATGGCCAGAGCCCAGCCCCACCAGAGACCCCAGCTTGCAACCAAATCCCTCCATCATGGTGGGCAAAGACCCCCCTAAACTGGATCTGAGGCCAGATTGACACCCTCTTTTCTCTCCCTCCAGGCCACTGTGCTGGGTCTGATAGCCCTAAACAAGGCCTACCCAGAAGTGCTGGCTCCAGGAAGCACCGCCTGTGTGACCCTCATATCCCCTTGGCCCAGCCCCTTCCCCTGGCTTGGCCATGCCCTGGGCCGGGTTAGCCCCGCTGGAGCCAAGGACCCTGTGGCCCTGCTGCTGGAGGCTCTGAGGTCCCCAGGGCTGAGAGCACTGGAGGCCGGGACGGCAGTCGAACTCCTGGATGTCTTCCTGCGCCTGGAGGCCGATGGCGAAGAGCTTGCTGGGGCCATAGCTGCCGGGAACCCAGGAGCACCTCTCCCCAAACGGGCCGCTGAGCTGTGGCAGGCCCTAGAGCAGGGACCCCGAGGACTGGCCCTTCGGCTCTGGCCGAAGCTGCAGGTGGTGGTGACTCTGGACGCCGGAGGCCAGGCTGAGGCTGTCGCTGCCCTCGGGGCCTTGTGGTGCCAAGGGCTAGCCTTCTTCTCTCCCGCTTACGCTGCCTCTGGAGGTCAGCAGGACCCAAGAGCAGGGGTAGGGGTGGGGGCAGAGATCCCATAGCGAGCTGCCATGGATGGCGCCCTACATAATCATCTCACTTAATCCCCCAACACCGTGTACCTGGGGATTAGCAGCTTCCTGTCACAGATGAAGAAACGGAGCCCCACAGGTTAAGGGTCTCGCACAAATTCACGTGCACTGGGGTTTCCTCCCAGGTCCGCTGCTTCTAGAACCACTGCACTCTGCTTCTGCCTGGGGACGCAGCGGCTGAGCCTGGGGCAGCCGGGCAGCAGGGAATACCAGGAAGGGCAGCAACAGGGTCATGTGCTCAGAGGGTTGGGGCCTGGGGGGCGCAGAAAGCAGTAGCCCCAGCAGATGCTGAGGAAGCTGTGTGCTCCCTGCAGGGGTGGTGGCCCTAAACCTATGGCCAGAGCAGCCCCGGGGGCTCTACCTTCTCCCCCCTGGAGCCCCCTTTACTGAGCTGCTCCCCGTCAAGGAAGGAGCCCAGGAGGAGGCCGCCTCCACCCTCCTGCTGGCTGAGGCCCAGGAGGGCAAGGAGTACGAGCTGGTGCTGACTGACCGTGTCAGCCTCACCAGGTGATCACCTGCCCGGCTCCTGCTACCTCAGGCCCCCTGGGACCCTGCTGAGCATGGACTTACGGACCCTTGTGCCCGACCTCACTCCCACTTGCCCCACCAGGTGTCGCCTGGGTGACGTGGTGCGTGTGGTGGGTGCCCACAATCAGTGTCCCATCGTCAGGTTCACCTGCAGGTAGGTGACCGTGGGGAGCTGAAGGGCCATCCTTGTGTCCTGGGCTTTACTTCCTCCCCTTCCTTCTCCCCAGACTGGGCCAGGCCCTGAGTGTTCGAGGAGAAGATATCCGTGAGGACGTGTTCTCTGAGGCCCTGGGCCGGGCGGTGGGGCAATGGCCGGGGGCCAAGCTGTTGGACCACGGCTGTGTGGAGAGCAGCATTCTGGGTAAGCTCCCCTGTGACCGCCGGCTCCTGCCCCCATTCCCGGGTTGGCTGCCCCCCACCCCATACCTATCCTGCCAGGAGACCTCTCAGAACCAGGGAAGAGAGAAGACTCAGCTTCCCTTGCTGCTCCTAACAAAAGTCCTTTCCCATGTCTAACTCCCATCTCTCCTGCTGCAGCTTCTGCCCATTCTCTTTCTTGACCTATTTCATATTTAGGATTAGGCTCTAGGTTCCTCTCCACTTAGCCCACTCCCCACCAAAAAGCGTTTTCCCCCGTGATCGTCAGAGTGGAGAACGGATGGGGCAGAGGCTTTGGAAGCTGCCCTGCTCACCGGAAGTGTGTGGGGGGGGGTTGTCCGCAGATTCCTTCGAGGGCTCTGCTCCCCACTATGAGGTGTTTGTGGAGCTGAGGGGACTGAGGAATCTGTCAGAGGAAAATCGAGACAAGGTAAAAGAGACAGGGACAGGCTCTGAGGGGCTCCTTCACTCTGCACACCCCCAGGGCGCTGCAGAGACAGGGGTGTGATGAGGAGGGCAGGGCTAGGGAGGAGGGGGTGAGTCCCAAAGACACGCACTGGGACACACAAAACTCCTAAATGCACGTCTGCCAAGCACAGCCGTGAGCATGTTGTGTGCACCCTCCCGGCCACACACACCCGACTCACTCGGGCGTTCTGTTCCTAGCTGGACCACAGCCTTCAGGAAGTTTCTGCCCGCTACAAGTCCCTGCGGTTCCGGGGCAGCGTGGGCCCTGCCAGAGTGCACCTGGTGGGGCAGGGGGCCTTCAGAGCACTCCGGACAGCCCTTGCTGCCTACCCCTCATCCCCCTTCCCTCCTGAGATGCCCAGGGTCCTTCGGCACAGGCACCTGGCCCAGTTCCTGCAGAGGAGAGTGGTGTCCTGAGCCCAGGCCTGCCCATGGCCCCAGGTCCCCTCAGAGGCCACCTTGCTCTCTCCTCTGGGGCCTGTCTGGATGGGGAGTCCTTGGCTGGGGTCTCTGACTCTGTGTCACCTGACATTTACCGATGATAGCCACTGGGCCTTAGGGAGGCCCTGGCCTAGTAGGCCAGCCCTGAGACATGGCCTCAGGGGTTTAGCGGATGCCAGCAGGGCCCTGCCAGGATCCCCTGTGGCCCACCATTGGAGGGCACTGCTAGAGTTCCAAGGCACACCCATGGCTTCCTGAGCCTCTCAGCCTGACAGTGTTCTCTGGCCACAGTTTTGTGCTTGACCAGCTCATTGGGCAGGCTGGAAGTGTTGGGGGGTCTCCAGGGGCAACCCTCCATCAATAAGGAACAGGAATTGGTGAATAAAGACCTCAGTGTCATTGTTCTTGAGTGAGACAATTCTGAAGAGTTTTCTGCATAATCTCTCAGAGGGTACCCCACAGGATGGAGTCCGACTTCTCACTGGGCCTCTGCCCTTCCCTCCCTTCCCTACTCCCTCACTGTGCCTCCTGGGATCAGCTCCCGAATAAACCTCTTGCACCCAGATTCTTGCCTCAATGTCTGCTTTGGGGAAACCATGCAGCGGTCCCATTCGCTCTGCTCCTGCTGCAGCCTGGGCTCTGTCCCTGCCCCACTCTTCGTCCAGGCTGGGGTCAGGCCCCTCGGGTATGTGCACACAGCAGCTGTCCTAGGTCAACCCGGCAGACACAGACCCACCTCCTTCTGCCTCCCCCATCCCAAGTGTAACCTAACTGCGGAGGGGCTGTTCCCCAACTTCCCCTACCCTGCTTTAGCACCAACCAGTCCCTTTCCTGGCCCAGCACCCACAAATCACTTCCACGGTAGGAAAGGGGGGAGGACACTTCAAGTCATAAAGCATCACAGCAGGAAGCGACCCCAGAGACCAGCCGGGCTAACTGTCCCTACCAGTGGGGAAACTGAGCCTCCACAAGGCTGAGGGCTTGCCCAAGGCCCTGCAGCTCCTCCTAAGTAAAGGCAACACCTGTTCCCTGCTTCTCAGTTCCTTGTCCCCACATCCAGGCCCCTGCCCCGCACTCACCCAGCCCTCACAGGAGCAGCCCCCATGACTCCTTCCTGTTACACTCCTCCCGAGGTGGCTCCCCTCCCCCACAGGATTAAGACCAATCAGCAGGCCTTTGCTCAAGTTGTCCCTTCTGCGAAATGCCTTCTCCCCCAGCCCTACCTGATAGAAGTCTACTTCTCATGCAAGGCCTTAGAGGCCCCCCTGCCCCACCCCAGGCAGCAGTGATTGGCTCAACTTTGCTGAGGTCTGCAATAGTCCTTTCCTTCCCCGAACTATCATTATGCCCGAACTGCCTCCCCCCTGGACTTAGGAGCTCCTGGGAAGTTGGGCCAGGTCCTGTGCACAGTTGCTCCCACACCAGTGCCAGGCCTGGCACAGCAGGATCTCAATAAACAGGCCAGGAGATGACATGTGTCCCTCACCTCATGGTGGCTCACTCCCTGTTGGTGGAGTGGGACTACATCCCTCCCCTCCAGGCAACCTGACCCAGGGAGAAAGCTGGGGAGGTAGATGCTTTCCACCAGCTTCTGGTAGAAACCGGGTTTGGTTTAGACTTCCTTTCCTCTCACTGTCCAGGCTGGGCTTTCAGGGTTTTCCAGCTTGGAGGGTGGTGGAAGTGGCAGAAGAGAAGGAGAGAGCTGAGGAGAGGAGGGGCAGCTAGGTAACCTTTCTAATAGAGGAAGGCCCCAGAGCCTGAAAGACCCCTGGGGCAGCAACAAGGACAGGAGGAGAGGCCTGCTGAGTGGCCGTCCTTCCCCCACCCACACACACAATGTGGCTAGTGGGTCTCACTACCGTCTCTTTTCCTGTTTCTAATTAGCAGCTGCCCTCCCCCCATATGGTCCCAGGCCAGCGCCCCAGCCGAGGCCTCTTTTGTGCTCTCGGATTCTTGGGTGCAAGGTAGCCTCATTAGTGCCCGGAGACCAGCCCATCTCCAGGGAGCAGGCAGACAGACAAGGGGGGGACCAGGGGCATAGTGATCCAACCCTGGCCTCTGAATGCCTCAGCGCCCATTCCTTGGGCCTGGCCTGGAGACAGCCCCCCTGCACAAGGCTAATCTTAGACTTGCCTTTGTCTGGCCCCGGAGTGGACGCAAGTGCCTGTCTCTTCCCCGCCACCTCAGAGCACTATAAACCCCAGGCCCCTGGTGGTGGGTCACAGTAGACAGCTTCAAGGTTCCTGGCTATCTGGACCACTGCAGACACCTCCTTTCCTGGCTACCCTGCGCTCCAGACACTATGAAGCTTCCTTCCACAAAGGTAAAGGCCCGGGGACCCAGGGGTGACTCACACCAGAGAGGCAATGAGAGTGCTTGCTTAGGGGGCTAGAAGAAAGGCCCGAGGTGTCTTCTCTTGGTATTTGCCCAGGTATGTTCTGAGGCAGGAGACGGGGCACACCCGTAGCTGAGAGCCTGCCTTGGCTAACGTTGGGTTGTGCCTTGTTCTCCTAAGAGCTCACGGTTATTGAACACTTACTATGTGTCAGGTACCATGTTTGCACCTGTCATCTCATTTCCTCCTCCCAGCAGCCGTGCATAGTAGGAATTAATACCCAGCGCACGGGGAGGAGGCTGTGCCCCTTGAGAGGGTGGGAGACTGGTCCAAAGCCATGGAGCTCAGTTACCCCTGCAAGGGAGCAGGCAGATGAGACAACAGCTGGGAGTCCTGCCAGTCCCCAATTTCCACCTGTTTGCCTGCTGTGGAGGGGGAGTGGGAGGTACTCAGTAGGATCTCTGTTTTCCTGGGTTTACAACTTCTGATGCAGACAGAGGCAGACACGCCTGTTTGCAGATGGAGTGGTAAGTGCTCTACCGGGGGTACAATGGACTAAGGGTATCCAGAAGAGAGAGGGATTCATTCTGCCCAGGGGGTCTCAAAAGGCATCTTCCTGGAGGAGATGTTCTGCTAGGTCTTGAAGGACGAGCAGGTAAAGGAGCCAGATACCAGCAAGGTCGTAGAGACAGGAAAACCGGCGGCGAGGGAGGCGCGCAGGCCCGGAGGGGGCGCGGAGCCCGCTGGGCAGGTCCTAGGCGTGGGGACTCCCAGCGCCCCGTCTCCACCTCCCTAGGTCTCTTGGGCCGCCGTGACGCTACTGCTGCTTCTGCTACTGCTGCCGCCCGCGCTGCTGTCGCCCGGGGCGGCAGCGCAGCCCCTGCCCGACTGCTGTCGCCAGAAGACGTGCTCCTGCCGCCTCTACGAACTGCTGCACGGCGCGGGCAATCACGCGGCGGGCATCCTCACGCTGGGCAAGCGGCGACCTGGGCCCCCCGGCCTACAGGGCCGGCTGCAGCGCCTCCTGCAGGCTAGCGGCAACCACGCCGCCGGCATCCTGACCATGGGCCGCCGCGCAGGCGCAGAGCCAGCGCCGCGCCCCTGTCCCGGGCGCCGTTGTCCTGCCGCGGCCGCCACTTCCGTCGCGCCTGAGGGACTGTCTGGGGTCTGAGCCATTCTTCGGGCCCTGTCCTGGCCCTGCCCTCTCCCCTCTGCCCACCCGGCATCAGCCCCCAGCAAAACGGCAATAAAGGCGAGTCTCCGTTCTTGTGACTGGTCTGTGTTCCTGCGTGGTCGCGTCCGGCCCTCCAGGGGGCGGGAGAGCATCTTGCGAGCCTTAACGGCTTAGGCCCTGGGAGCCTGGCTCTGGGACGTCAGCCTCAGCCTGTGCACCGTTGGAATGCTCTTGGCTGGGGAGCTCCCAGTGCACGGCCTTGGGGTGCAGAGTGAACCCGCACATGTGCATGCTTGGAGGGGAGAATGCGGGACAAATGCGTCCGACGATGCTTTACTAGTCATTCTGCAACACGGGAGGGGCAGGGGAGCAAGAAAGACTGCACGGAGAAGCAGAATCCGGCTGGGAAGCTGTGGGAGTTGAGCCCGCCTGCCGAAAAGGCAGGGAATATGAGCTTTAACAATGAATCGTCCATAGGGGCTGCAGCGTGGGGTACAGGGTGTGGGGAACGGTGCGGCTCCGGAAAGGAGGCGGGTAAGTTTATGCAGCCAGGATTGTGAAGGCCCTCACACATATAAGGCTTTGCACTTTATTCTGTAGGTAATAGAGTCATGGGAAGTTCTTAAGTAAGGGCAGGGCAAGATTTTTCTGCACTTCTACCTGAAGACACCTGTTATTGTGAATTGTGTTTCCCCAAAATTTCATATCTTGAAGTTCTAACTCCGGGCACTTCAGAATGTGACCTTTTTTGGAAATAGAGTCCTTGCGGATGTAATTAGTTGAGATGAGGTCATACTAGAGTAGGATGAGCCTCTAATCCACTATGACTGGTGTCCTTGTAAAAAGAGAGAATTAAGACACAAATGCACTCAGGGAGAACCCACGTGAACATGAAGGTAGAGATTGGGGTGATGCTTCTACATGGCAAGGAATGCCAAATATAAGCTCTGGGAGAGGCATGCAACAGATTCTCCCTCACAGCCCTCAGAAGGAACCAACCCTGCCTTCATCCTGATCTTGCTTGAACTTTTAGCATCCTGAATTGTGAGACAATTGATTTCTGTTGTTTGAGCTACCCATTTTGTGGGGTTTTTTTTGTTTTTTGGGTTTTTTTTTTGAAACAGGATCTCCCTCTGTTGCCCCAGTTAGAGTGCAGTGGTGGGATCATAGTGATCCTCCTGCCTCAGCCTCCTAAGTAGCTAGGACTACAGGTGCACTCCACCATGCCTGGCTAATTTTTTAGAGATAGGGGTCTTGCTATGTTGTCCAGGCTTGTGTGTGTCAAACTCCTGGCCTCAAGTGATCCTCCCACCTTGGCCTCCCAAAGCGCTGGGATTACAGGCACGAGCCACCATGCTGGCTGCAGTACCTTGTTATGGCAGCCCTAGGAAACTAATATAATATCCAAAGGTAGAGACACAGAAAGATGTGGTACTTTTTATTGATCTAACATCCCAGATAATACCCAGCTTAGACCGTAGGAGTCAGGGTGGGGAGCATTTAGCCTGCCCTGTTTGCCCACTCTCACTGGCTTTAGCTGTTTTGTACCGGGAAGCAGCTACCCTCTGCCACCACACTTAGCTGCCTCAATAATTTTCTGCATAGGTAGTGAGAAAGTCCTGTGTCTAGTCTCACCCGGGTCCCCCTCTTCCTGCTGCACTGGTTCCGTCTTGGAGAAGACAGAGAACAAAATTCACCTCTGTGCCCATGGAAATTTGCAAACCATGACTCTGCCACCTCGAAGCTATCTTTCTCTGTCCCAAACTAACCTCCAGAGCCTCCAACCTTTCTTCCACTTGAAGGACAGCAGAGAGGATTAAATCAACATGGTAGGAACAAGAAGACCAGGGAGGCCATTGCCCTCCAAGACACTTATTTTGTGCCAACTACATGCATTATGCTATTAAATTCTCACAATAACTGCGCGAGGTAAGAATTAATTAGCTCTATTTTACAGTTGAGGAAAGTGAGGCTTGGAGAGGCTGTCACACAATTAGTGTCCAGAGCTGGGTCTCCACATGGTGGACTCCAGAGCTCTTTTCATTCCGCCCCACTGTGCTCATAGGCAGAGTTCACCAGGGTGCCCTAGGCAAACTGAAGGATAAAGCGAGAGTTAGTGGTGCTTTCTAGGAGTTGGGGTTCCAACTCTTCCCGTCGTGGATTCTCCGCCAGCAAAACTAGCCTTTTAACCCTTGCTGTCTCACACTGGAGTAACAAGGCTAGGGGTGCCGGGAAATATCCCAACTCCAGCAGGCGGCACTGTGAGCCAGACACCAGCTCCAGCGTGGGCGGCACACGGGAAAACCCACCAGGTGGAGCCACAAAGAGCAGCCAAGGAACCACGTGTGGGGGCGTGGCCAACCGGAAAGAGGGCGTGTCTGATGTTCAAGCCCCGCCCCGCCACTTCAGGCCTCCCCCTCCCGGTGGGCGTGTCTCGAATTTTCTCCCCGAGAGACACGCGTGGGCTGCTCCCCTCTGGGAGGAGGGCCGCCCAGGGGTGTGCGGGTGTCGCTAGCGGCCCCTCCCCGTGCGGGGCCACGTGGCGGGTGCAGGCCAAGCCCGAGGGGAAGAACCTGGCCCGTGGGGAGGAGAGGGGGGGAACCCAGGCGGTGCTGAGCGGAGCCGAGAGCTACGGGGTTCGGAGCGGAGAGGAGGCGGCGGCAGCGGCGGCGAGAAGGAGGGGAGGAGGCAGGCGGGCGCATGGGGCGCCCCGGCCCCGCCGGCAGCGCGCCCCCTCCGGCCCGGCCGCGCTGAACGCTCCCCGGCGCCGTACCTCGAATCCGCGCCCCGGGGCCATGCCGGTCATGAAGGGGTTGCTGGCCCCGCAAAACACCTTCCTGGACACAATCGCCACCCGCTTTGACGGCACGCGTGAGTGGGGTGGAGGTCGGGGCTGGGGGCTCAAGCTGAAGGGCAAGTCTCCTTGGGGGCCAGCTCGGGTCTCCTGATGTGGTGAGACCCCCGGCGAGGAGAGAGAATGGAGTTGAGGGTCTAGGAACTCCCGAAGCCGCTTCTTGTGAAGGAACCGGGCGGGGAGCGCCCTGCGAGGGGAGGAGGGGAAAGGGCCAAGAGCACCGGGCCGGGTGTGGGGGGAGCCGAGGTTAGGGGGTGTGACTCGAGGCTCTTTGTGCAGCAAAACAGAGGAGGGGCCTTGGGAGCCGCCCACTGCCGGGCAGCGCGGTGCTGGGGGTGTGTATGGGGATATTTGAGACATGGACGTGGGACGGACGAAGTAGCTGGGCGTTCTGGGGTCCACTCCCAGACGACTGCAGCTCCCACTTCCTCCATAAAAAAGGAGAAAAGATCAGACTCGGCAGGACCCAGCTTGTATTAAGGTCACACGCACCCAAATCGTGGGGCGTCTGTGTCTGAAGTGGGTGAGGCAGGAGGAGGGGGGCGGTCCGTGCGACGGAGGGAACTTCCTGCTCGCCCACCCCAGCTTGGGTTCCAGGTTCAGCACCTTGGACAGCCGCATCATTCCTTCCCCGCCTCTTCTCCCGCCATTCCCTCTTCCTACACTGGAACCTGCCTCCCTTAGGAACCCTGGCCAGGATCTAGAGGGCGGGGGAGCGTACCCGAGGGCGGAAACCGAGCCGCGGGGCTCTACCCGCCTCCTCCCTTCCCCCTCCCCCCCACACCTCCCTTGTTTCCATAGCGCCCATCACCGGGGCAACAGGCCCTGGGATGGAAGGAGGCTGTGCCCAGAGCCCAGTGCCTCCCAGACATCTTCAGTGTCCCCATCAACCCCCAGACAGTCACCCCTCTTAGCGCGCCAAGACTGGCTGTGTCTCAGGCCCCGTCCCTTAGCTGAGACTTTGTCCCTGGATGGCCCACAGGAGCCCCCCTGTGGCCTCCCACCCACTGGAGCTAAAGGGAGCCAGCTCAGGTTCTGCTGCTGGGGGTGGCTGGAGCTACACCCTCAATATGTCAGACTTTGAGCACTGGGGACAGACCCTCTGAAAATAGCTAAAGGAATACTAAAAAGTGAACCTTTCCTGGAAGGCAGGGAAGGAGGACACTACTCATCACTGTCTTTCCCCCTCACTAAGGAGATTTGTGAGTTTGGATAATCTCTGCCTTTTGGTTTCCTGTCAGTAAAATGGGTGTGATAGCACCAGAATCTTTGCCCTGCTCAGTCTGTAATGGGATGACAAGATGGCGGCTTTGAAAGCCAAGCAATGTGGGGAATCATTTCACCTCCCCAGGGTAGCTCTTACCATGTGCCAGGACTTGTTCTCTCCAAGTTAACTCATGTAACGCTCACAATAACCATGTGAGGAAGGTCTATTATGCCCCATTTTGCAGATAAGGAAGCTGAGGCACAGAAGAGATAATTAACTTGCCCGAGGACACACAGTCAGTAAGTGGCAGGGGAGGGGTGCAGGAGCCCAGGCTCCTACGCACCACGCTATGCTACCTTCGACACTGGCAGCTCACTAGCTTGAAGGCAGGGAGATGGATTGCATAACCTCGTGGGGTTCCTTCTCCAACTCCCAGGTAGCCCCTGCTTCTGTTCTAGGCCGCTACTGAGTCCTTGTCCCTTTGCTCTGTCTGTTCTTCTCCCATTTCAGAATATCCCAAAGGGGCATTAGGAACCACACAGAAGCATGGGAACCTTCTGGCTCTGTGACCTCTAACTACACTTGGGGGAGGTGCTGCCCACCTGGGAGTTGTTTCTCCACTCCTGGCCTTGTGCTGACCTTGACCTCTTCTTCCCACAGACAGCAACTTCCTGCTGGCCAACGCACAGGGCCCACGGGGCTTTCCCATTGTCTACTGCTCCGACGGCTTCTGCGAGCTCACAGGCTACGGTCGCACTGAAGTCATGCAGAAAACCTGCAGCTGCCGTTTCCTCTATGGTCCAGAGACCAGTGAGCCAGCCCTGCAGCGACTACACAAAGCCCTGGAGGGCCACCAGGAGCACCGGGCTGAAATCTGCTTCTACCGCAAGGATGGTGAGGGGCTGGACCTGCCCTGTAGCCCTTCCCAGACTCTAGGCCTTACCCATTGTGCACTGGGCACAGCAGACATCTGGGTGCTCGTGCTCACACTGCCACAAGCTGCCTGTGTGACTGAGTGCATCCCTGACCCTCTCTGGGCTTCGGTTCCCCCATCTGAAAGATGAAGGTGCCAGCTGACAGAATCTCTAGGGTTCCTTTCAGCTCTAAACATTTGCCAAGCTCTTTGTGTCTAGCAACCAAGGCGAACTGGGGAGAAAGGCAGGCCATGGGGCTGCTCATGCTCCTCCCTCCCTCTCTCCATGCCTGCAGGTTCAGCCTTTTGGTGCCTCCTGGACATGCTGCCCATCAAGAATGAGATGGGGGAGGTCGTGCTGTTCCTCTTTTCCTTCAAGGATATCACTCAGAGTGGAAGACCAGGACTTGGCCCCCAAGGGGGCCATGGGGACAGTAATCATGGTAACCGCAAGTCTGGGCAGGAGGCATGAATGGTCAGAAGTCCTTGCCCAAGGTCACGCAAAATCTCTCCCTACCCAGCCTCATGGGATGCACCCTAACTTATCTCCACACCTTTTTTCCCAACAGAAAACTCCCTCGGCAGGAGAGGAGCCAGGTCAAAATTTCAGTCTGCCAGAAGGCAGAGCCGTACTGTCCTACACCGACTGACCAGCCACTTTGGCCGCCGGGGCCAGGGAGGCATGAAGGCCAATAATGTGAGTCCCGGTCCCATCCCAACGTCTCCCAAATCCTCCATCCTTGATTTTGAGGCACACCTGCTAGTCTTCCTGTTTCCCTGTCTGGTTTCCATCCATGGACTTGTTCCCCTGTCCATACATTTCCCATGTACCACTCTCTGCTCCACTCTATGTCTCCCACCCACCACCTTCTTCCATCCCCACCTTCCTTGCTTCCTTAGATGATTGACATTGCTCTGATGATGTCACAGGATGGGGCTCTAGCAGTAATTACATCACGCATCCCTGGGCGATAGGGTTGTCATGTGGGGTGAAATCACGAGCAGCTGTGGTCCTGGGGAGAAAGCTCCCATTGACCAGGAGGAACTTGAGGGAGAAGTTAGTGACCCCTCAAGCTAGGGGTGTGCAGATATGCCCAATCTGTCATAATCTCCTACTCAAATAGGGTGAGAGTCAAACTTTATAAATACCCCCCACAAAACATGATTTGTTCAAAAGGGGGCCTGGGCGGTAGATTGGCAGGAGGAAGAAATGTCAGTGCCAGCCTCTGAATCCTGCTCCTGTGCCTTCTGTCTCCTCCCATAGTTGCCCTTGCAGTGCCCACCTTCCCCTGTCCCTGCCATTCCCTCCCCCCAACCTTGGCTCTCTTTTCTCCCAAGTGTCCCCAACCACCACCCCTCTCCCCTTAGAATGTGTTTGAGCCAAAGCCATCAGTGCCCGAGTACAAGGTGGCCTCCGTTGGGGGGGCCCGCTGCCTCCTCCTGCACTACAGCGTCCCCAAGGCCATCTGGGATGGCCTCATCCTGCTCGCCACCTTCTACGTTGCGGTCACCGTCCCCTACAATGTCTGCTTCTTGGGCGATGATGACTCTCCCATCACTTCCCGACACACCCTTGTCAGCGACATCGCCGTGGAGATGCTCTTCATCCTGGGTCAGACCCTCTGCCTCACCTACCAACCCTGGTGGGTGGGCTGGTGGGGGGGACCCACTCGGCCAAGCCTCACTGCATCCCGGGCCTGCAGGACCCAGACATTCAGAGCCCATCCCTTTCTGGGTCTCTTAAGTCCCTGTGGCCCATGTGCCCTGGCCTCTGGCTCCTGCAGCTTTCAGCCTTGTGACGTCTATTTCCTAAGGACCAGAAGCCCAAGCTGTCCTCTCCATTCCTGCTCCGCCTCCATTCTGGCTCTCCAAGACTTGTTCCCAGCTTTCCCAATTCCTTGGCCCCAGGCCAAGGCTCCCTAGTAATAGCCTCTTGTACCCCCAGATATCATCCTGAACTTCCGCACCACCTATGTGTCCCAGTCCGGCCAGGTGATCTCTGCTCCTCGTTCCATTGGCCTCCACTACCTGGCCACCTGGTTCTTTGTTGACCTTATTGCCGCTCTGCCCTTTGACCTGCTTTATGTCTTCAACATCACCGTGGTGAGTGACCCCCATCCCGCCATGCAGCCTAGCCTCCCGACTTCAGCCCAGCCTTTCCCATTAGGGCACCGACCCCAAACCCAGATGCAGTCCTTCCCATCAATCCATCTGCAAATATTTATCAGGCACCTGCCATGGGAACAGCCCTGTGCTAGGTACTGGGAGAATCCGAGAGGGTCTGCGCTCCCGGGGAGCTCAGCTCACAGTCTTTGAGGGAAGCTGAGACAAATGAAAAGCTAACTATGGCTACCAAGGCGGCATTGGTCTGATGCCAATGAGTGGTACTTTTCACATTTTTATTTAACAAACAACTGATGAGCATTTAGCTGTCTGCAGAGCACTGTGTGGGGCCTGGTCACTGTGGGGAAAAGGAACATAAATTGAGACTCTAAGCAACTAAACTGGTGGAGGGGCAGGAATACTGGAGAGGACATCAGGGACAGAAGAGGTGATCGGTGGGGATAGAGGATGGGGCCCACATATTGCTGCATGGGGGCTGGGCTGACCTTGGAGTTCCAGGCTGGAACCTGAGCATGCGTAAAAGTGACCTGAAATCTAGCCAGCACCTGGGAGGCAAAAGCACCCCAGTTGGGCAGAGGCTGGAGTGGTCTGGAAAGAGTTCCTGCGGGAGGTGGGAGGAGAGCTAGACCTTAAAGGGTGAGTAGCAACGGCTGGCAGGAGATGAGGAGCGAGAGCATTTGCAGGGAGCATAGTAAGCCAAGACAAGGAGGTAGAGGCTGCGGGGTGGATTTGGAAGCAGAGAATGCCAGCACCTGGGTCCTCCCAGCTCCCTGGGGACTGCCCGGAGGTGCCCTGAGTGGCAAGTTGTGAACCCAGCTGGCAGATGGTAGGTCTTCTCAAGTCCAGGGTGAGGCAGTCCTGCCCTGTGTCCCCAGACCCCCTCGGCTGCTGGGTGGGGAAGTGGGGAACAGTTTCCTTGTGTGCTCTCCCTGCTGCACTCAGCTATAGCAGGAAACCACCTACACGCAGCCGGATTTAACTAGCCGCCAACGGGCTGTGGGCCTCCTCTCCTAGCTGTGCACACGTGTGTGCAAGTTCCCACACACGTGCATGTGTGTATGTCTGCCCTGAGGCTCCAGCCATTCCGAGCAGAGCTCCCCACCCCTCCCCAGGAGTGCACCCACCCCGCTGTGCCCAACGGGCAGTATCAGCTGGGGAGAGGGAGAGCTGCAGAGAGGCCCCTGCGCCTCCTCTCAGGCAGTCCCCCTCCTCCGGTACCTTCGGGAGTCCTTTGCAGTTCACTCCATTCTTTCACACGCATCATCACACGGGGGCCTCCCACTACCCCTTCAGGGCAGATTCTCTTATGCTTCTTTTTCAGAGGTAGGTGAAAGGGCTCAGAGAGGTTAAGTGACTTGTTCAAAGTCACAGCTAGCAGTGGCAGGCAGGCAATTAGAACCAGATCTCCAGGCTCCTGCTCTAGTATTCTTTCCAGCATACCACCCTGCTTCCCAGGTAGCCAGAGTACCTGAGTGGATGGTCTGGCTTAAAGTGAGATGAGGAGTGACACAGGGGGCCAGAGAGGGGCAGACAGAGACAGGATGAGTAGGCACTGGCAGAGCCGCAGACTAGACAGAGGCAGGCCTGGGACGTTCTAGTCGACGGGAATGAGAGGAAGGTCCCCAAGGGAATGGGGCCCAAGGTGGCTGACTGGGGAATCTCTGAAGGACTCAAGTTTGCAGCAGGGAGCTCTGGGAGCTGGGGGCAGGCATTAAGCCCTGGAGAGGGTCCACATGGAAATCAGAGCCACCTCCTTCCCAGCTCTTCACCTGAAATTAGAGATAATTGCATGAGGTGGCTCAGGAGCAGTGTAGGGCCAGGGCTGCGGGGAATGCTCCTGGAGGCCCTGGAAGGGACAGTGAGGGGCCTTCACACCAAGTACCCTGGGCACCGCCCCGGAGCCTCCAGTCCTAGCAGCCAAGCTGTCCCCACCCAGAAGACAAGCCCCCACCTGCTCCCTCCTCATCTCCAAGATTGGAAGGGCTAGTTGAAGTATTAATAAGTCACAATTAAGATAGTAGTGGCAGTGATATTAGTAGATGTTCACAGGACCCTTACTAGGTGCCATTAGCTCCATTGTCCCCCAGTGCAGCCCAGGCTCCCTCAGTCCCTGCCCTCCTGCCCTCAGCTCTTCCCTGTGATTCTCTTGTCTACAGCTGATTCACAAGGGCAAGGGGCCCTCGACCTTCCCCAGTCCTCGAGCTTCTTGCCTGGCCCGACTCCACCATGCTTCCCCATGTCTCCAGGGTGGTCCCCATTACCATTGCTAACTGGCATCATTGACAACCAGCTCCTGACAACAGCTGATTGTGCCTAGCACGCTAAGGCTCTGAGCAGGGGCTCTGCAGAGGTCATCCTGGCTCTGACCAGGACTGGCTCCTCACCATCCCACAGTGCTTAGAGGCAGCATAGCACAAAATAGGTTTCAGCGTCAGGCAGCCCAGACATACCCACCTTGAGTCCCAGATGGGTGTTGCCATCATTTCCTTGGTTGTGACCTTCAGCAAGTCACTAGCCTCTCTGAGCCTTTGTTTATTCATCTGCAAATTGGGAACTACAGTGGACTAAAGGCATAAGTGGGTTTTTTTTTTTTGAAATTTTTTAATGAGGGTTACAAATGCTTAGCACAGTGCCTGACGCAATTAGGAAGTACTAAGTGTTAGCCACTATTCGTTTTTATTACTATTCTCTCCCTGCTGCATTTTCTGGCCACTTTCTCAGGACAGCGGGGATGTTTTTCCTGTTGCAGCCTCCCCTGGCTCCAGGGTGTCTGGTGGGAAGGCCCGGGGAGGGGACGGGGTGTGAGGGCCCTGAGGAGCTGTGCCTGCTGACACCCGCGCCCCCGCCACCCTCTGCAGACCTCACTGGTGCACCTGCTGAAGACGGTGCGGCTGCTGCGGCTGCTGCGGCTGCTGCAGAAGCTGGAGCGGTACTCGCAGTGCAGTGCCGTGGTGCTCACGCTGCTCATGTCGGTCTTTGCGCTCCTTGCCCACTGGATGGCCTGCATCTGGTATGTCATCGGGCGCCGGGAGATGGAGGCCAATGACCCGCTGCTCTGGGACATTGGTGAGCCACTGACCCCAGACTGTCACTGAGCATCTGTCCAACTGTCCTGTCCCCAAGCTGATGCCTCCACCAGCACTCACACCCACCATCCCACATTCCTCCATTCATCCAACAAACATGCATTGAGCGCTGGCTGGATCAGGCATGGGAATATTGATTTGCAGACAAGGGCTCTGCCTTTGAGGGGAACTCACAGCCCAGCAAGGGAACAAGACCAGTGATAGGTGATCAAAATACAATGTAGGAAACACTCTGATGGCAAAGGGGTATGTTTCGGGCAGAGGGAGCAGCATGTGCAAAGCCCAGAAACAGTTTGGCTTGTCCCTTCTCTGCCCCCATCAAGCCCTCCTTCTCCAGGCTTAATGGCCACTGGCCGTAAGACAGCCCCAGGCCCTCAGTGTCCCCCTGAAAGGCATGTCAGATCCTGGGCATCATTCCTCCTGACACCTCCCTCTCCTTCACCCCACTGCTAGCCCACCACATCAATACCACCACTTGGCTATCCCTTGGGTCTGGCCTCTTCTCTCCATCCCTCTGCTCCTTCCCAGTCTACCACCTCCCTCTCTCACCCAGCCTTGTGCAATAGCGTCCTACTGACCTCCCTGCCCCCTTTGCATCCCCACCCAACCCCTCCTCACCACAGCCAAATTGGTCTTCCAAGAATCAACGCTGACCTGTCACACCCCTGCCTGGACTTCTTCAGTGGCTCCCCACTGCCCTCCAAATGAAGTCCACTCTCAGTGCTCACCCTGGGCAGCCTTGCACCCTCTCTGTCCCCACCTGCCTTCCCTTTCTCCCATAATCCCTGTGATGCAACCACGCTGGCCTCCCTCCTGGACCAAGAACGTACTGCTTTCTCACATTAGGCCTTAGACATGCTGTTTTCCTCTCTGGAATTCTCCCTCTTTTGTCTTTCCTCCCTTCCCCTAGGTGACTTTTCTGTTCCTTGCAGTCTCAACCAAAATGCCCTGTCCTAAGGGATCTCCCCAGGAACCATCCCTCAACACCCCCCCGTACCGCCAACTGTGTTGGCTCTCCCTAACCTGTTAGGATTCCTAACACACCCTATACAGTATTTCCCTTTTAGTAACTCACCTCCCACCTGTAACAATTTATTTCATGTCACTCTCCCCTCCAGATTTTAAGTTCCACCAGGGCAGGGACAGCGTGTGGCTTGGTCAAGTCCCAGCACCTTGTACACAGGAGGTGCATAATAAAACATTACAGAGTTTAAGGGAACCCAGAGCAGTCAGCAGTGTAAGGAGTTGGTGGCCTTGGACTGCAACTGAAACCAGTTCATGGTGGGAGGCACAGGCACAGGCTGCTCCAAACCTTTCCTGTGCCAACCCGTGCAGACCGTGTAAATACTGGCCCAAGGTCAAGCACAGGCAGCTCGGGGAATCCCAGTTCTCCACCATTCGTGCAGCCAGGGCTTCCTCCATGCCTCCACTCCACAGGCTGGCTGCACGAGCTGGGCAAGCGGCTGGAGGTGCCCTACGTCAACGGCTCTGCAGGCGGCCCGTCACGGCGCAGCGCCTACATCGCTGCGCTCTACTTCACGCTGAGCAGCCTCACCAGCGTGGGCTTCGGCAACGTGTGCGCCAACACCGACGCTGAGAAGATCTTCTCTATCTGCACTATGCTCATAGGCGGTGAGGCCAGACCCACCACACCCCAGGGGGCCTCTGTGAAGCCCAGCGTGCGCATGGGGAAACGGAGGCACAGAGAGGGCAAGGTGTCTACCCAAGTCCAGACAGACATGCATTCATTCATTGACATTTCCTCAGTGCCCACTACGTCCTGGCCCTGGGGGATGCCACAAACAGGCCTCTTGTGGAGGGGATAGGAAACCCAAGTTCATGACCTAATGGTGGGTATGAGAGGTGCATTGGGTGTGACCCATCTTGACAACTCCCTGTTATTCCCCACTCCTAACCTAGCACTGAGCACCAGGTAGGCACGCGGGAGCCCACTAGCTCTCCTGCCCCTCCCCAGGAACTCAGAGACCCCTCCAGGACAGGGTGGGTTTGGGAGCAGAGGAGGCAGTTAGAGGGGTGGCCGCCCCTGACCGGCTGCCCGCTGCCACTGCTGCAGCGCTGATGCACGCCGTGGTGTTCGGGAATGTGACGGCCATCATCCAGCGCATGTACTCGCGCCGCTCGCTCTACCACAGCCGCATGAAGGACCTCAAGGACTTCATCCGTGTGCACCGTCTGCCACGACCGCTGAAGCAGCGCATGCTTGAGTACTTCCAGACCACATGGGCTGTCAACAGTGGCATCGACGCCAACGAGGTAGCGTGCAGGGTCCCCAGCCAGCGCTGGCCCACCACATGGCAGTGCAGTGGGGTAGCGGTCGCCACCTCTTGGGTTTGGAATGGAGGCACACAGGACCCGGGGCGATGAGGTGCTGTGCACAAGGGCACATGCCCACCCAAATCCAAATCCAAGTCCCTTTTTCTTTGCACTTGAATATGGGATCTGAAAGGGAGCTCAGGCCTCTGCTGATGCCATTCTCTCTTCAGCCGACATTTCCTGAGCACCTGCTTTGGGCTAGCCTCAGGGTTGGACACAGGGAGCTTAGAGATGATTACACTCAGCCCTGGCCCTCAGACCCCAGAATGGTGAGGGAGGCAGGCGACGACCAAAGAGTTGGGTAGTGCATAGGGCTGAGAAGGGGGGATGTGGGTGCCCCAGGGCCCTGATTGTGTCTGGGTGGGAGATGTCATGGAGGGTGGCACAACAGAGGGAACATCACAAAGAATGAATGAGTAGGAAATCCGCCAGCTACTGGGAGGCCATTCCAGGCAGAAAGAGCAATAGGAACACAAGCCCAGAAGTGGTGCCCCAAAAGAGCAGAGGGAGTTCAGGGAACTGAAAGTAGTTCAGTGAGCCTTCAGGAATGGGGTGAATGCCGGTGAGGAAGCAGGGAGGCCCAGCTCTTGGATGGCCTGGGATTTAGATTGTATCCTACAAAATGTTTAGGCTGGAGGGTGGTGGGATCTGAGATTGCTGAGGTATTTCTGAGGGTGGGAGCCATGGGACTTGGTGATCTCCAGCTGGTTGCCAGGAGAAGCTCAGAGTGACTCCAGGTTTCTGGCCCAGGCAAGGGGGTGGGATGGAGGCATTCCAGGGGGAAGATTGGGCTTAGGGATGAAGGTGGGAGTCAGGGGTTGGGCCATGAGGAGGGTGGGGTCCAGGTAGAGGTTGGCCAGTAGGTATTTGGAAATCAGGTCTGGACCCAGAGTTAGGGTTCAGGGCACACAGGCAGTGGGGAGTCAGAGGGGTGGTTGCCATGATGCAGGGGCAGTGTGGAAATTGAGAAGAGGAGAGGGGCAGGCTGAGGAAGAGGGGCCTGGGGACAAAGTGAGGACGGAGCAGTTGGAGAGGTGGGAGGAGGACGGGGAGAGAGTCCCTGAGAGGAGCCCAGGCAGGACAAGAGGGGGAGATCAACATGCCAGAGTGGCCAAGGGCCTCCATAATATGAGGATGGAAGTGCGAACATGAAGTTTGGCCCTAAGAGGTCATTGGTGTTGCTCAAGACCTAGTACGACTCTGCGTTTTGCAGATGGGGGTACTGAGGTCCAGAGAGTGGAAATGGATTGCCCAAGGGCCACAAGGATCTAGGAGCAGAGCTGACTCCTAGTCTCCTGACTCCTTGTTGAAGGCTGACCCTCCAAGGATGGCTCTAGGATGTGTGGGGTTGAGTAACCAGGACATGCATGAGTGACCAGTGTGTGTAGCCATGGCAGTGAACAGATGGGGGAAGACCTGGTCTGTGCCCCAGACATCAGGCTGGGAGGTCCACATAGCAAGCAAAATTAGGGTAAGACACACGGAAGCCACCCTGAAGGTCCAGAATGGGTGACTCCAAAGCCGAGGGCAAGTTGGGGCCCCCTCCTTGAAGACAGCTCAGCACATTTTTAGACCTGAGTAGTAGCTGCAAGGGGATGGCCAGAGTGACCTTTGCCCCTTATGCAGTTACTGCGTGACTTCCCAGACGAGCTGAGAGCTGACATTGCTATGCACCTGAATCGGGAGATCCTGCAGCTGCCGCTGTTCGGAGCAGCAAGCAGGGGCTGCCTGCGGGCCCTCTCGCTGCACATCAAGACCTCGTTTTGTGCTCCGGGCGAGTACCTGCTGCGCCGTGGGGACGCCCTGCAGGCGCACTACTACGTCTGTTCCGGCTCACTTGAGGTGCTCCGAGACAACATGGTGCTGGCCATCCTGGGTGAGGACCCCACCACCACCCACCACCTACCCTGGAACCCTCCCCAGAGGTCTTGGGAATGGCCAGGAGTCTAGGGAATGGCACACCCCTTGTGGGTACCTGGAATTCCTGCCCAGGAGTACTCTTTCTTGGTCCCTTCACTTACCACCATCCCTCTTTGACCTTCCCCTCTGACTATCCCCTAATCCCCTTGGCCATCCCTCAACCCATCAACCCTTCCCCAGTGACTGTCCCCAATTCAGTTGATCCTTTCCCAATGACTCTAAACTCCATTGACCCTTACCCTTTAACTGACCCCTCTGACCATCCAATTGCTCATTCCTCCAACCCTACTCCCACCATCCACTATCTCCCAGCGTCACCGGTGTCATCCTCCACTGACACTTTCGCAACTCTATTGATTATTTTCACCAATCCCATTGATTGTCCCACCTCAGTCACCCTCCAAACACATTGACCATCTCTCAAATCTAGTGGGTACCTCCCCCTACTATCCTATTGGTCCCACTGCCCCAGCTGACTGTGCCCATCCCTTCCCCACAGGGAAGGGGGACCTGATTGGGGCAGACATCCCTGAGCCAGGGCAGGAGCCTGGGCCGGGGACAGGCCCAAGCTGCGTGCTGAAGACCAGCGCTGATGTGAAAGCACTGACCTACTGTGGCCTGCAGCAGCTGAGCAGCCAAGGGCTGGCTGAGGTCCTGAGGCTCTATCCAGAGTATGGGGCTGCCTTCCGGGCTGGCCTGCCCCGGGACCTCACCTTCAACCTGCGCCAGGGCTCTGACACCAGTGTATGTAGACCCCCTGTGGCCTCTACCCCTTCCAGGGTCCCTTCCTTCAAAGCAGACCTCCCCTGGCCGGAGAGGCTCATGCATCTCCCTCCACCCTGAAAATGTCATCCTCAACCCAGGCGCCCTCTTCCAATGCCCCTTATGTGTTTAATTCCCTGACCCTGCTCCACTGGCCATCACCCAGCCCCGTGGCCCACCTCTCACCACCCTCCGCTTCCAACTCTACTGACCTACCTCCTGTTACCACGCCCCAGACTCCTTCAAAGGACCCTCCCTTGGGAAACAGTGCCCCTCCTGTGCTCCTCCTTCAAGTCCCTCTCTAGCCTGGGTGTTGTCCCCTGGGGCTTCCTCTTCTCCACTCACCAAATGTTTCCTGAGCCCACTTCGCTTTCGGCTCTGGGCCGGGCCTGTGTCTTTTGCTGCCTTTCAATCTCCCTTTGCTACTCAGTATGCTTCTGAGTTGGAGTCGGTGTATCTGGTTCAGTTCCATAGAAAGGCCCCATTCTAAACCTCGTAACACTGTGGAGTGGGATGAGGGGCTGCCCCAGGGCAGTGGGGAGGTGGGCGTCAGCTTGAACCCCACTATGTCCCCACAGGGCCTTGGCCGCTTTTCCCGATCCCCTCGCCTCTCCCAGGTAACACCCCCTTCCTGGGTGGGCTGAGTTGCACAGAGGGTGGGGGCGGACCTCTCCTTGGCTCCTCTGCTGCAGGGAAAAGGGGGAGGGGATGGGGCGAAGGCTGCTGCTTAGCGAAGGGGCCTGTTGTTCACTGTCCTGCGACATCAGCTACCCCCTCTGCCCACAGCCCCGCTCAGAAAGCCTTGGCTCCTCCTCAGACAAGACGCTGCCATCCATCACAGAGGCCGAGGGTGGCACAGAGCCTGGGGGTGGTCCCAGGCCCCGCCGGCCCCTCCTGCTGCCCAACCTCAGCCCAGCACGGCCTCGGGGTTCCTTGGTCAGCCTTTTGGGCGAGGAGCTGCCCCCATTCTCAGCCCTGGTCTCCTCTCCTTCCTTATCCCCATCCCCTTCCCCTGCCCTGGCTGGCCAGGGCCACAGCCCCTCCCCTCACGGCCCCCCCAGGTGTTCTGCTGTCTGGAAGCCCCCACAGCTTCTCATTCCCCCACTGGGAACCTTTGGACCTCCGGACCTCAGTCCCCGGTGAGACACCAGCCTCTCCTCCCTTCCCCATACTCTTACTAGCTTCCAGAACCTTCTCTGGGCTCTCTCCCTAGGTTTCCAAACAGTGGTCCTTCCTGTCCCTGCCCCATTTACCCACCCCACCCTTCCAGCCACAGCTTGCAACCCCATCCCATTTTGCCACTGCTCCCACCCCCGCCCCCTGCCCCTGGCACTGCTCTTCCCACTCAGCCCTGCCAGCCCTGCTCTGGCCCTTGCCCCTCCTGATGGTGCTGATGAGCACTGCCCTGTCCCCAGGATAGTGGATGGCATTGAGGATTCTGGCTGCACAGCTGAGGCCTCTACATTCCGCTTCAGCAGGAGGCCTGAGCCCCCAAGGCCCCGCTCTCAGGCCCCCTCTACAGGTAAGGACCAGGAGTGGACTTCAGCTCAGTTACCCATTCATCCAGCCATCCCACATGTAGTAGGAGCCTGCCATGCACTGGGTGTGGAACCTGGGCTGGGCAGGCCCTCTGGGGATACAGAGATAAGCCAGACTTGGCCCATATCAGGCTAGTGGGGGAGACACCTGTGCACACAGATTAAACAATCCCAGAACTGGGTGCTAAATACCACGACTGAGAAAAGAACCGGACTCTGGTAGGAGAGGAAGATGCCCCTAACTCTCCCTCCTAGAGGAAAGGACATTTGGGTTGCTTCTTAAAAGGTAGGTAGGATTTTGAAGGGTGGAGCAGGACAGTTGTTGAAAGGCATGAAAACCAAAGGGATGTTGTGTTCAGATTCCAAAGAGAAGCTTCGTACCTGGATCTGGGGGATGGGGAGGATGAGGCTGGGGGAGTTATAGGGCCCCCAAACCAGCCTAAGGAGTTCGGGTTTCTCATCTCCCTGATCCCAGAGCTTTCTTTCCCCTTGCTCTCTGCCTACCCAGCGACAGGAGGGGTCCTGCCCAAGTAACAGGCTCAGGTGTTCATGCTCCCTGAACTCACCTGCATCCGCTAACCCCATTCTGCCTGCAGGGACCAGGCCCAGCTGGGAAACAGCCACTGAGGCTGAGGAGGTGAAGGAGAAGGTCTGCAGGCTGAACCAGGAGGTGGGTTGGCCTGGCTCCTCCCCTCCAGTCTTGGAGAATATCATCTTGGGATCAGAGAAGTGCCTGATATAAGAGCATTCAGGTTCTGGGGCCAGAGTCCTGAATTCAAATATTCTCCATAGCTGGATGACCCTGGGCAAGTCCCACAACCACTCTAAACTTCAGTTTCCTCATCTAAAAATGGGGAAAATAATACTATATTTTTCCCAGAGTCTTGAGGATGAAATGAGAGTGCATATATGCCTGGTCCAGTCTCTGGCACATCATAATGCTCAGTAACAGTTGGTTCTCCCTCTCCCCTGCCCGCCCACCAACAGGCTCAGGTTTTCCCACCTGAAAAGAGGAACTCTTCCCTCTCCACCACTATGGGAGTCTCTCCTGCCCGGGACCTGCCCATACCAAGTCTTGATGCTCAAGTCCTTTTCCCTTACCCCAGCCCTGGGAAATGAGGGCTAAGCAGGCATGGGGGGAAGAGGACAGGGGAGCTGAGAGGCCTTCAGACCCCGGGGACCTGGACCCAGATGTCTGAATCCTGTCCAGGAAGAGCCTGGATCGCGTATGCAGAGGTGCCACCTTCACCTCCCTAAGGGATCTCAGAACTGTCATCACAGAGGGAGCAGACCCAGCCTCTGGGAGTTCTCCTTTCTTCTGTTCTGATAAACATCGGGCATCCCAGAGGGCTGGGGCGGGCCCTGGGCTGGGGTGGGGCCAGCCCTTGTTCTATGAGATCTAGGGCAAATCCCGCTTCCCTGCTCACTGCCTCAGGTGTCCCCCAATTCTTTTAAGCCTGTTTCCCAAACTTGAGTGTCTATTAAAACTTCTAGAGAACCTATTAAAATGCAGGTTTCTGGGCCCCTCACTCAACTTGGAATATCTAGGATGAGGCCCAGAAATCTGCATTTTGAAAAGTTTTTCAGTTGATTCTGTACTCACTAAAGTTTGAAAACCACTAATATAGACACTTAAGCTTGTGTGATGGGATCATCTGAAGTAAGGCTGTCACTGTCACTTCACATTTGTGTGGCCTCTGTGAGCACATTTTTCTACATCTTATAAAACGGGGGCAGTTAATAGCAATATCTGCTGCCCCAAATCCTTTTTGGAAAGAGACTGGGGTATTTACATCTAGGCAAAAATAGCCCCTGCTCTGCCTTCTTCCCCGGGTGGCCCTGACTCCCGAGTGGTTGTGAAAGAGCTTTGCAAACTATAGAGGGGGGTGCACTTGGTTATTCTGGCACCTGTGAAACAGCTTGATGTGTTTCCAACAGATCTCCCGTCTCAATCAGGAAGTGTCTCAGCTTAGCCGGGAGCTGCGGCACATGATGAGTCTGCTGCAGGCCAGGCTGTGTCCCTCGGGCCACCCAACAGTCTCAGCTTGGCCCCCAGGCCCTCCTTGTCCCCAGCTGAGGCCACCACGCACCTCTCCCTGTGTGTCCAGACCACCACCCAGCCTCCAGGATACTACACTTGCTGAGGTCCACTGCCCGGCTGGTGTGGTGACAGCAGAGATGGGGGCTGCTCCCCTGGACCTGAGACCTTCCATGCTGCCTCCCTACCCCTCAGAGCCTGACCCTCTGGGACCCTGCCCAGTGCCAGAGGCCTCACCCCTAACCCCAAGCCTCACGAGGCACAGTTTCCGGTCCAGGTCAGACACGTTCCACTGACCCTGGCCCCGGGCCCAGGCCTGTCTGGGGTGGGCATTGCTGCCTGCCATCCAGGGAGGAGCTGGGTCCCTTGGCCTCCTGTCTCGAGGTCTGCAGCCACCAGCTGGTCTGGCTGGCTGTGCATTTCTGGACTTTTTCACAAAGGGTGGTCACCTCTGACCCTATCCCCTTTTCCAAACCTTCCCCACCCTCCCCCTCTGTGAGGGGAGCTGCCTGAGGCTGCGGAACCCAGTAGGCATGAGATGGACCGCGGTGCCCATTGGGCTGGGCAGACGGGCAGATGAGATGTCCTACTTTCTCCCCAGGACCTGGAGGCAGGTAGAGATGGGGGAGCAGAGGGGATGGGCAAGGGCCCCTGATCCAACCTGGGAGATGAAGGCTGAGGCAAGACTGGGCAGGATCTCAGCGTCTACAATAGATTGCAGGATTCCGTTCTGGAGATAGCTTAGTGATACTGTGAGGTCTTCTGTCCCAGTCCCCAGGTCTCTGCTGGAGACCCTGAGAGCCATGTCGCCTAGGGATAGGTTTGAGATTCTGGCTGGCATTTCTGCAATCCAAGACTTCTTAGGCCACCCACAAACAGCCCAAGCTGGAGGGGCTCACCTCATCCTGCAGCCCACACAGGAAACAAACTGAAGGCCCCAGACATGTATTTTTGGCTCTCACGGCATTTTTAAAATATGAATTAATTGTCAACATTAAAAATCAGTACAGGTCACATAAAAATCCAGAACGTTTTCCACATCCTCTAAAAAAATTAGGACATCTGAGCACCTTGGGCCAATATTCCACCAGCAATAATCAGCACTCGGCTGGGCTGGGTGGCCACTGTCCTTTTTAGACTCTACTTTGCAGTCATCACATTTCTGGACCATCTCCTAACACCCAGCTGCCTTTCCTCCTTTGAAATCTTTGTCTGGTGTCGGCGGGTATTGGAGTTCCCAAAACTTGAGTGTCTAGCAGAACTACCTGAGAACCTATTAAAAAGCAGATTCCTGGGCCCCACCCAATTTGGAATGTCTGGGGTGGGGCTGGGGTTGAATTCGTAACCCCTGCCTTAGAGGGTGCTCCCATGTCCCTGTGCCTGGCTGGTGCTTTTTGGGTTGAGTAATGTCTGTTTCTATTCCTGGGCCTGGGTCTGTCAACGTCTGTTTCTGTCTCTCTGCAGGCTGTCACTCAAGGTGGTCTCTTCTGCTGCCAGCAACTGAAAACAGTCCCAGCAGCACTCCCTATCCTTCCTCCGCCCCCAGACTTCAACCAAGCCTGTTCTCCCTGCTTCCAACATGGTCTCACTCAGGGCCTGGACTTCTCCAAAACTCGCCCTGGTCTCCAGCTCTCCTTTAACCACCCAAGACCTTGGGCTCACTTTTGCATAGGAAATAAACTCTTTATTTTTGTAGTTGTTGGCTCTGGCCTTTTCTGGGGGTTGGTCTGAGAGCTCCTGGGCTTTGGAGGAGCCAACACAGCAGTCACTCCCCCACCATACCCCAGGGCCCTGTTGCTGTCTCTAGGAAGGGCAAAGGCACCAGACAATCCACTTGGCACCACATTCACGCCACCATGGGCCCCAGGGATGAGGGAGAAACCTTAATGAGTCACTATGGGCCCGTTATACTCCCTTCTCCCTGCCACCTCAGTCACAGCCACATATACACACACACACGGTCCTGGCTCAGGCCCACCTCCTTGGAAAGGTAGGCCCAGGGGACTCCCCAACCCTCCTGTAAAAGGAACTGTTGCAGGGCTACATAGGGCATGGGCTGGGGAGGAGCTTGTCCTAACCAAGAACCTCCTAGGAATGCCACTGTGCCCCATCCCCTCTGCCCTGCCAGGCCCTCTCTTCGCTCTTGCCTTTCACTTCTCTGAGGATCACTGCCAGGGGGAGGGGAAGTTATGGATATTGTAGAAAGAAGCACCCTGGTGACCTGATGGAATCAGATGTGAGCAGTTTTGTGGCAGGTTGTCCCAGATAGCTCATGTCTCCAGCTCAGGCTTCAAGGCTTAACTGGTGTTGGCCAGTGTCATCGGCACAATAGCCACAGCTGTCTGTGGGGTAAGCTTTGATTCTATAAAGGTTTTGAGTAGTTTCCTTGCAGGGAAGGAGGTGAGATGCAAAAGAGAGGAGGTACTGCCCTGTGTTGGGAGATAGGGGTGGGCAGAAGTGGCTCTGATCCATATTGAGGGGAGCAGAAGAAACAGAAATAGTCCCAATCCGTATAGGGTGGGGGTGGGGCTTTAGTCTATATTTATGGATGAGAAGGGCCGAGGCAGAGGTTGTCCAGCTCTGTATTTGGCACCAGAGAGAAGAGCTGACTCTGGTTGGTAGGAGGGGAGGCAGAGGTCCTGGTGTGTTTAGGGGCCCAGGCAAAGTAGGAAGCGGTGGCAGAAGCTCTCCCTTTGATCTCACCCAGTATCCTCCAGAGAACCCTTCCTACAGCGCTTTCATCGCCTTCCTGATCACAGATGCTCCCAGCATTCCGGCTCCTAGAGCTGAATTGGCCGGCAAGTGCGGACAGGGGCTTCTGCTGGCTAGCGCTATCGAGTACACAGGACTAGTCCACGCGGCCTCCTGTGCATATTCATTCACATCATGTTTTTCTTTTCCTAATTCTGCGCACAGAGTTCTCTGCCTTCTTCTAACGCTCCGCCACCCGCCTTCCCTCGGGGAACCTGGAACTCGCGGTAACGCGCGTGGCACGGTTGGCCTTAAAAAGTTCCTGGTGCGGCTCCGCCTCGCCGGCAGCCGGCTCCACCCTAACCAGGCAGCTGTCGGCTCCTCCCAGCGCTGCGAACTACAAGTCCCGCCGTGCCTCGCGCGCGCCTTCCCTCCTCTCTCGCGTCCCACTGGCGTCCCTTGCAGGGTTGGCCAAGAGTGCCGCCCATTGGTCTCTCCGCCCTGTCAGTCACCCGGAAGTACAGGGGGGCGGGGAGAACGTGGAGATCCGGATCCGGAGCGGCTGAAAGGCGGAAGTGGAGGCCGGAGCCTGGGACACCGCCGGGGGGAAGAAAAGCGGAGCCTACCCGAGACCCGGCCCCAAGTAACGCCGCCGCCCCGGAGCCGCCGTGAGTATGCCTGGCCCGGGACCCAGTGTCTCGCCTGCGTTCAAGCCTCTCCAGGGCAGTCCTTCCTTCCGCCCAACTCCAGCTTAGGGGGTACTGACCCCTCCCCCGACCCGTAGCCCCCTCTTAAGGGGTTCCCCAGGCGTCGGACCAAAAGGGGGAGGGGGCTTCTTCGCTTACCTGCCTTTCGTGAGCCTTGGGTAAAGCCCTATGGCTCTCCTCTGGCTTGTCTAGTCCAGTTGTGGGAGAGAGGGACCCTAAGTTTCGTTGCCCCTGCTCCCAGAATTGGAGGACCTTTGTCAGGGTGTGAAGGAACCTGTCCCCCTTCTCCTTTAGAGGTGGCAGTGAGTGCTGTCTGTCGCCGTTTTCCTTCCCCCGTTCCTCAGAACTGGTGTCCCCTCCAGGATAGAGGACTATCTTGATTTCCTTTGGGGGGCGGAGTGGTCTGGGTGAGACCGTTCCACACGCACTTAAGTGTGTTTGCGCTTCCACAACTCTTTACTTCCTCTCTTTTTTCGAGCCAGAAAGCCAACCAGGACCTCAGCAGAGTTTGAAATCTGGGTCACTTATTAGGAATGAACTGTCGTCCTGTCTTGCCCCTTCTCCCCCGAGCCAGTCCTCTAGCTATGTTTTTCTCTAAGTGTGTATCTCTTCCTGCTTCTGAAGAATTTAGCTGAGATTTGCTCAATCCTAGCTACAGATCATGGATCAGGGTGGATCTGCCCATTCATTATCCTGTCTCTCCCCTCCTCCTCCCCCCTTGCTCCAGGCTCAGCTCTGTCCTCCCAGAGCACGTGAGTGGTTCCAAGCTGCCTTAGAGGGACTCCTCCTCCTGGGACTGCTGTCTGCTGGTCTGTAAAGTGGAGAATAAGGCCAAAAATGAGGAGTCTGGAATTGAAGGGCCATCTCTTTCCCACCCCCAAACACACGCACATACACCACCCTGAGCAACAGGTTCACGCCACACCAGGTCTGTCTCCTTTCCCTTCTGGGCTAAGACTTAATACAGAGGAATAAGTCAAGTTCACAGTGGCAGCTTTGGATTATTAATGTGCTAAGTTTTGTACTCTAAAGAATTCCCATACAGAAAGTACAAGTTCGTTCCCTCAACCATTTTGACATATGATTCTTGTCTATTGCTTGGGACTTAGGAATATGAAATAGCTGCTGTTTCAGACCAAGCTGGAAGTTTCTTTGTTATGTGGCCAAAGTACAGGCTGGAGACTGTACCTTAATGAGGAACAGCCTGACTCTGAGGCCACAACTGACCCTTGCTATCTACAGTGGAGGAAGGGAGGGAAAGCCATGCAATCCTTGGGAATTTCTGCAGCTCTTCAGTGTTCTAGGCCACTCTTACCACCCTCAGATGCTACTTACAAGTGGTAAAGTTTTTTGCCTTGAGATCTTCTTAGACTTCTGGACAGTTTCTATTGTCTGATTCCTACAATCTTTTGAACCAGACCTTATTTCACTTTTTATTGGACAACAAAAATACCTTCCTTATTAGAGTCAACAGCTGGATCACAAGCTCTATATTTGTACGGGCTCATTGGAAGCTCTTTGGAAACTTTGGCCAACCTAGAGTCTCCGATCTGGTCAGCCTGCACCTCTAAGGGGCAGGGCAAAGAGGTCTGAGTGCTCACCAGCCATTGATCTCTGACCAGACTTACCTCTTTAGGGTGGACTACGGTTTGCCACTCTTTGGAAGTCCTGGGATGGGGCTGACCAGCCATCCAAGGGGACCTTCTTTGCTTTGTCTGGATGTGCTCTCCCGGCTCTGACTCGGAAACAGATTTTTGAAGGAGAAGCTCTCCCTTTCAGAGAAACAAGAAAGGCATCAGTGCTCTGGGTGGTTATGCAGCTACTTCTGGCATCCAGATATTACAGACTCCAAGAAGAGGTTTTACACTGCTTGGCAGAAAGAGGGAGGGCTCTGTGTG